AAATTATCTAGGACAATATAGTTTTAATGAAGAAAGAAGAAAAATAATAACTGATAAAGATTGTGAAGAACATAGAAAAATAATTAATAAAGGAAGGATTGCTGGGACACCTTTTAGAGTTCATTATTGGAACAGTATAAAAGAAGAAGAAATATATGATAATGATACATTTCAGGAACCATTAAAAGATGGAACTGTTGTAATTGTAGATAAATTCAATGAATGGGTAAAACAAAATGAATTAATATTAAATATGATGAAAGTATCTAAATATTGGAAAAATAACATTGAAGAAATGTATCTTAATAAAAGATATGAAGCAATAATGAGATGCTTGGATAAAGCAATAAATCTTTATTTTGAAATATCAAAATATCCAAAGTATAATTCTTTGGAATGGGGAGGAATCTTAGAGAAAAGAATAGAAATGATTAAAAAGAATGATTTCTTGCAGTGGATAATTATTGATCAAGGATATCCATCAGTAATAAAAAAATATGGATTATATCAAATGCATTTACAATGGGAGCTTAAAGGGCTAGAAGGAATTAAATGTGAAACATGTGGAGATAGATTACAATCAAATTGTACAAGGATTTTAAAAGAATATAATGTTTTTGATGCATATTATTTATATAACGATCATTTGACAATACACCCATCAGAAATAAAGAAATTAAGAAACAAAGACTTATTAAAAAGAGTCATGGAAACAAATCTACAACAAAATGAAATATTTATAGAATGTTGTATGATTTGGTCATTAGAAAATGAAAGAATGGTATTAACAAAAAAACCATTTGAAGAATACTTTGAGAAGGAAATAAAAAATAGACCATGTTATCAAAGAGAAATATTAAAACAAGAATTTAAAATACATACAAGATCAGTTAATGTTGTCGCAAATATTTCTACATCCCAAGTTTGATTATCTTCTATATTAGAAGATTGACTCCATACGTTTTCACCTTCCTCAAGGGTGGAATGCGTTTCTACCATCATTCCGAGGGCACGAGCAACATCATCTTCTTTAATGATTTCCTCAGAAAAAGGTGGTTTCACTCCCAGTTGACCAAGGAGTTCGGTAAATGCATCTAACGTGCTGCAACATTTATAGCCTGATTCGTGCATGAGTACGGCCAAAGGTTGTTGAAATGATTCATTGGATTCGGTCATTTTTCTAAAAAATTGTGGTCAGTTAAGTAAAGGCTGAAACCGACAAGTAAAGAGATGGTTGATAAATTATACACACGCAAAAGCGACTGATGGATTCGAATTCAGGAGAGGAAGAATACTAGTTGACACAGATCCGAACGATAATCTCTCGGAATTTTGCGTAGCTTCACTTTGTTGAGATGAAAGATTTAGACCTTCCGCCTCGTGTGACTTAAAATATGTGATCAAATGACGTAAGAGTTTGTCGGATAAATTATTTTGGATCGCTTGGTCTTCCAAGGCTTTCACAAGGGGGTCAAAATTCTGCTTGATTATTTCACGTGCTGTTATTAAAAGAGTTGAGTTAACATAAAAATATTGTTCGTATACAAAAGGTTATCCAGAGTGAAGTATAATGGTTACCTTGGTCAGAGATTTCCTTTCTATTCGCTTGCAATAAAGAGATACAAAGGCCAACTTTTTCTACCGGATTAATTCCGACGTCTTCTAAGAAACTGTTAAGATCAAAGTCCTTAAAAGAATCTGCGTAATTTATTGAGTTGAAAGCCTCGCATAAAACGGCTGATAGAGCCGGATCACTGGCAGCTTCTTTAATTTTCTCGACCAAAAAAGGGTAGCTTAAAGAAGATTCCGAATTACAAGATCCAATATTGCAGATTTGGTTCTTATTGATAATCAGAAGTTTCCTTAACAAGTAGAAATGTGTGTCCTGACCGTGTTTGTTTAATAGCTGTGAATTAAAGTGTCACCAAGTAGATTAAGAGAAAAAAAAAAAACTTAGTCTCGTCTTAACGGAAGTAATTTTTTAGTGACAAAAAAAAAAAAAAAAAAAAAAAAATTTTGCGTTTAATGAAAGCAAGATTTGTACTTACAGAATTAATCTCCGATACTTTGAGAGCGTAATTTTCGAGTGAGAGCGCATTCAATAGGAAGGAAATTTGTGCATTTACAACCGTAGTTAAGCTCGTTTGGGATTTCAGGTGATGGGCCGTGGTGGGCAACGACTTTGCTGTAGAAGAGTTACTGTTAACAAGTGGTGGGGAAAAGGACGTGAACAACGATTCCTCACTGCTCATAATGGGGCGGAGAACATTATCTTCTTGCTGTGATCAGAGAAAGCCGATGTGAAAAGTAACAATGAGGCTTTTCAGATTGCTAAACCACGGCTAATAAGTGGTTGCAGATTAAAGAAACGTGCTTACATCATTCATTTGTAAACAGATATTGATAAAATAGGAAAAAAACTGGAAAAATCAACAGCAAACTTAGATTCTAAAAAAAAAAAAAAGCGGATATGCTATAAGTACTCATCGTGAAAAGTGATTTTCAAGTCATGTGACATCTCCGTAGTGTTGAATTATTTCATGGAGGATCTCATACAGGCCAGACAAAGATAAAGGTAAAAAAAAATTTTCGTGTGATGGAATGAAGCGAATGTAGATTCAAATATTTGTGTTTAATGCGAAAGGAGAAAAGAAATGTTTTGGAACATGGCGAGTCCCCGTTTCCTAGTAACTTATTACATCTTTTTTTGAATACCTCTCTATAATAGTTTTTCATAAATACTTTTGAGAATTATAATATAGTACATTAAATTTGAGATATTATTAATCTATAAATATGAAAGTGATGTCAAATTTAGAATGCTTAATTAAGATAGAACTAAATTTAGAATTTAGATCACACACACAAATCTTCACATTAATGGTCCCGAGGTTTAAATATAAGAACAATAATTAACCCAAAAATAATTAATAATAATAAAAGTATTATCTTTCTGTTTCTCGTTTTCTTCTGATAACTTTCTCCCTAAGCAATAAATGAATTTTATGTATTTAAGATTCTGCGAGAGAAAAATAAAATCAAATAAAGTTCTCTTACCTTATCTAATTCTTTGACTGCCGCCTTCACATCAAAAACCATTTGTTCAACATTGTAATCTATTCGGTCTAATAACGTTCCTTGATCAATAACAAGGGTTTGAAGATCTTTAAATATTATTGCCAATGTGTTTATAGATTTTGCAATTTCACTAATTTCCCTTTCTCTTTGGCTTATCAGTGCTTCTGAAGATTCCACAATAGCCAGTTGATTTGATGTGAAACCCTATAAAGGCGAGCAATTTGAAGCGATCGGATTAATAACTCCCATATACATAAATATATACATATAATCGAAGACAACATTGACGTACCCTCTCATGATCGTCTTCAACTGAGTCTATAGAAAAGAATCCCGAAACTTTGGTCTCCCTTCCCTTGAGTTCTGATTATACAATTGTAATCCCTTTTCCAAAAAAAAATCAACAAAACTAAGAATAGTACTATACACTTACTCTTCATATATGCCGACTGTTGTTTTCTGAAGTTTGCGGACAGATCTTGTACTTTCGAGGCTAACGAAGTTTGAATATTTTTTCTTAGGACTATTTCTTGACTTGACATCGCCGGTTGACTTTGATCACCTATCCGTCTGATTTCTCTTTGGCATTGTTGAAAAAGCTATTCGAAAAATGTGTTCATATATATAGTCAGAATGATAAAAAAGAATTCCGCCAGCAATTAATAAGGCGTGGCTAACTTCTGTTATTTCTGTAGTCAATCTCTCTATTTCCTCTTCCTCTTCGGTCCTATCGTCAAATCCTGGTAAAACATGTTTCCTATGTAACGACTCTAATGTCAGAACTATGAATGGCACAGGTCGAGATTAATATATATATATATATATATTTTTTTTTTTTTTTTTGACAAAAAAAAAAAAAAATGAAACGGTGCCTTCTTACAAAGGTTTTTTATTTGATCAATTTTCTCATCAACTTCTTCTACTATGTCTACCCTAGGTAAAAGTAGAAACGCATTAAGGATTATGGCATGAACAAAATATAGATAATAAATTGCCCTTCACCATTTCGGCGGTAAAACTGCAAGCTCTATAATCTGATGATCTGAACTCTCGATTAAACCGACATGTTCAGAAGTAATATGATCAAGGTTTGAGGAATTAGTTAGAGGTCGAGAGTGTTGATTTCTAGCGAAGGAGGTTCGATACTGCAAAAAAAGCAAAGTGCGACTTCTGGTCGCCATCGAAACAAAATATTAGAATGCAAGTGATTTTCTACACTGATTTTTACAGTTGCATTGCAACAGTTACACGAAATTAAGCCGCAGCCGTGCACCAAATTGTGGAGGTGGCTTATGGCGCGTTTAGGGCCAAATTTTTATAATTCCGGCCGGAATTATAAGCGCGTTAAATGCAAATTTTCGAAATGCGCCATAATTTATTATGATTTATACTGTATATTTACGTATATATTATGGTCCATTTTGGGCCAAATTTTTATAATTCCATCCGAAATTATAAGTGCGTTAAATGCAAAGTGCGCCATAATACTTCTCTTTATAGAAAAATTATTAAAGTAGCTTGTTATTAAGAAATAATTGATTAAAAAAATTACTACTAAATTGTTCATTAAAAAAAAAAAATATCTATTATACGATTTTTTACACAATACTATATATGGTTTTTTTTTTTAATTCACAATCATGCATATCTTAGATATTGCATATTATCACGTGACAACTTACTTGTCTTTTATAGGCAAAATGGCATTAAAATGCAAAACTATTATTACAAAAATAAAAAAAAACTCTTTCCTATATATCATTGATTTTTGAAAAAATTTTTTTTTGAAAATTTTTTCTTTTGCAAAAAAATAGATTCAAAGTATAGAGTTTTAAAGTATAGCAAATCTTCTAAGACTATTTTAAATAAAAATACTTAAACATAAGCATAGACAATCTTTAGTTTATCCAGAAATCTTAAAAATAACATTGAAAACATGGAGCTTTATAATCAACAAACTTCTTACAAAAATATTGTATAAACAAGATTTTATAATATTACAAATTCCTTTTTTTTTTTTTGAGTACCCGTAGCCAGGCTAGATCATCAGTTTATTAATCAAATGAAGACAAAAGTATATTTTCA